AAGGTGCTAATATGTACCATTTAGGGGTAAATAAGTTACAAATATGTATCTTTTATCTTTTGTACCTTAGGGTACTGTGCCATTGACAAATCTGTACCTTTTTTTCCTGAGAGTGTAGCAATCACCACTAAACATAACCATATGATATGAATGCATCGTCACTGAGGTGTGTCTCTTTCTCTTTCAGGTACAGGCTGAGTTGAAGCGCAGGTTATGGACGTGGCAGACCCTCATCTGAGCCCCAGTAAAAAGCGTCGGGTCACTGTTACTCAGATCATGATGCATGACTCCACTCATTCACAGGCTGCCATCTGCAATGGCTACATCTATGGCAAGCCGTTTTGACTTTTATTCATTCTTAGGATATGAATTCTTGATATCAACAATTCAATTTTCACTAGTAAATATGTTAATTCTTGATATCAACAATTAAATTTTCACTAGTTAAAACAATATCAAGAATTAACATTTCAACTAGTAACAACTGAATTCTTGATATCAAGAATTCACGTTTTTACAAGTAACAAAGTAATTATTGATATCAACAAAGGCAGTTGATATCTGAAATGTCCCTTGCAACTAGTGAAAATTTAATTACTGATATCTTAACATTTTAACTAGTAAACATACTTTTACAGATATGTAGAATTTTGTACAGGTAAGAATAGCTATGGTAATGAGATCATAAATATTAATGAGATCTAGTTTTCCCACAATCCTCGTTTTAGCGTCAGCATTGGCCAAAGATGGCGGAAGAACATCCATGCGCAGAAACGGCTCCTCCTTTATTTATTTATTTTGTCAATGAAACATGAATATTATATTATAGCTGGATTAAATTTTTTTTTTTTTGTAAATTTTTTGTTAATTGTTAATTTTTTGTTAAAGTAATTTTATGCTGTTTCTATTTATTGGCCACCAAGTCCTTCGGATAATTAAAGGGAAAATGAACAAGGCATTCATTTAGCTTTAACATAAAAAATAACTTCATGTCGTTTTTTCATGTGTTTATTTTTGGTTTTATTACACTTTCTTCTAATACATCAAATAAAAAATACAACCAAAAGGAAAAATATAACAGATAATAATGCGTCATACAAACGCTTTACTGGACTTTTTTTTTTTTTTTTTT